TGTGGCCTATATCTGACTCCAATGTGAACTGTTTGCATGTTTTAAACAAATTCAGTACAGGGGTCTGTTTGGATACGTAGACGAAGTCAGTAGTGGTGGGAGTGGTCTCTGTCTCTGTCTAGTGCTTACTCGCCGCCGGCGCATAATTGTGTCAAATGACGATGGAGATTGACATCAGAGTCGCATTAAATCCGCCTTGGTTGTTCACACTGGGGACGCATTGAAGAAAATCAAATCTGTGTCTGATTCAGGACCACATATGTATGTTTCAAATCTGGGCAAGATTTGAGTGTTCACACTATCTCTGAAGAAGTCTGACCTGGTCACTTGACCCCCGAAAAATCGGATTTGGGCCACTTTTGTCTGGGGCTAACGGGGCCTTAGTCATGGTCAGTTGAATAGTTTGCTACATGCACAGTTAGCATGGATTAAAAATGTAGTTTTTTTTTCCCCTAGGGAAGACAAGTGTGTCTAATCTTTTGCTGGTCTCGCACTTGCAGAGTTGCAGAGTTTTTTTCCAGGAAAAGTGGCACGTTCAGCTGCAGTAAAGTCCTTCATTTTTCAGATAATGAAAAATTCATCCTGTTTTGGTTGTAGCAAAAAATCGAAGAGAAGAACTGAAAAGTGAAGAGTGAGTCAGGTTAATGCTGCTGCAGAGTATTGAGAGCTCTTGTGAATGTGTCTGCAAATTAGTGTGTGTCTGTGTGTGTGTGCAGTTGCTGATTGGATTATTAGATTTAGTTTAACTAGTTTAGCACCGTTTCAAGTGGCACAGCACATCATAAAAATGCACACTTGCAGTGTAGACAGTTTCAATGATTAGAGAGGAACTGATTAAGGTCTATGTCCCTTCACTCGTTTTCTGTGTAACTGTGAGTCTGGAGAGAATGTGTGAAGTGAGAGTTCAGCTTTCCTGTTATAGCAGTTTGGATTGCCTAAGTTTCAGGGTTTCATTTTGGGCCTGTTAAAACATCTTTGACCGTGTCTAGTATTATCTGAACTGTAGTAACTGAACTGTATACTGTATCTCACAATTGTGAGAAATAAAGTCAGAATTGTGAGATTAAACATTATTACAATTCATTAAATATATAATAATTTCATATATATAATAAATATAATACATATAATAAATAATATATAAATAATATAATAAATAATAAATATATATAATAATAAATAAATAAATATATATACTTTATTTGTCACATTTTTTTTCCACAGAATTGTGAGATATAAATTCGCAATTACTATTATAAAGTCAGAATTTGGAGATTGCGAGAAAAATAGATCTGTACGCAGCCCCTAAATGGACCTTTGCCAAAATAAAAATTTACAGACTTTCACGTGCGCACAAAATACGTTTTTCGTGAGCATGTGAAAGTCTGTTTATTTTTATTTTTATTTTTATTTTTGCAAAGGTCCCTTTAGGCTCCGTTTGATCTGAGATAAAGTCGCAACCTTTGAAAAAAAAAAAAAAAAAGTCGTACCTTTTTTAGTTTTTCCAATAAATACAAGCTTCTATAGAAAAGAAGCGGAAACAAGCTTCCATAGAATTTCAGCACATGCAGTACGTCATTCAGTATTATGAATACTGTGTTTTGGAAGTCGTACTCTTTTGACATACTCAGTTTTCACATTCTGTCAATTATGTTGGAAAGAGCATTGCATATTCGGACACAGTGTCTGTCTGTGTGAGTAAGCAAGCAAGCGCCACTGGCGCGGCGTGTACAGCTGAGAGCTGCAGATTACCATAATGATGCGAGCAGTTCAGCAGAGCAGAACGCTCAAAGCTCAAGGGAGTAAGTGTGAAATTAAAGATGAATTTACAACAGTGCCAATGCAGCACACACACCGCAGCCCGCAGAAACACTGTCACTAATTAGATTTAGAGCTTATGGAGGAATCCCTCTGTCACCATACACTGCTTCAGAAAACACTCAACTCATTCATTATTCTCTCTTTCTCTCCCTTCTTCCCTCTGACCCCTCCTGCTTCTCTTTGTGATGCATACGTCTAATTTAGTGGTAATTGGAATAAACTAAACAGAGTGCTTTTAGAATCTGACTCTGATGAATTGCTGTAGTCTGTTTATGCAGTTTGGCTCTATTTAATTACAGTTTCAGGGATCCTTAAGACCTAGATTTATATTTACCCTTTACTTAGCATTAGCACCTACAAGTCACTAACTTCCCGCAATTTTAATTGCAAAATCAGGTTATACTTTATTTTAAGGTGTCCGTGTTACAGTTTAATTATACATTTAACTACTGGAGTTATAATAATTAACCACATGTATGGGATTAGGATTTGGCTTAGGGTTAGTTGCATGTAATTATGCATCATTTACTGAAAAATACACTGAAAAATAAAGTGTTAACCAAAATCATTTTTATATAAAATTCAACTTTGTCTTAACAGGAATAAGTCACATTTTAAAATAGATTAAAATAGAAAGCAGCTATTTTAAATTGTTATAATATTTCACAATAGTAAAGTTGTTGTTGTTGTTTTTTGTCAGACTGTGAACAGTTTTTACTGTATTATTGATGCAAACATTAAAAAAAATCTTACCAACCCCAAATCTTTTGAACAATAGTCTAATTGAGAGGCACAACTGCATAAGATATAACATTTTTAGAAGTATATTTTACACCAAAAGATTATTTGTGTATATTCTAAAGGCCAGTTTGTCTTTGATTTTGGCAATAATGCAATAATGTTTATTGATACTCTAGCCAAGAGACTGGATTGTTTTTTTTTTTTTTTTTTTTTTTTTTGCATTCGGGCACGTGTTCAGTGAATGTAATGTTTTCTCAGTGTTTCATTATGAGCCGTTTTCTCCGATTATAACTTCCATATACAGTGCCAAAGTCACTTTGAAAATCATTATTTTTTTTAAGCATCTCAATGATAAAAGTTTTAATAAATTAACTCGGAATGCACAGATTAGCCACTTGTGGAAATATTTCCACATTATTTTGCATTTATTTAATTGAATAATAATAAAAATCATTATCAGATTAATCATTTGAGTAAAAATTCGTGATCAGTGTCACAAATGTACTTCTGTTTTTTTTTAATATTCGTCAATGTGTATTGGTGTTCAGAATGTACGTTTAATGCATCTAAATTATATTCACAAGCCAAAAACCGAGAGATTCTGTCGATCTGTGGATCAGATGAGAAAATCGATTGATGTCTCTGTAGGAATCTAAATTTCACCATTTGCTCTCAGAGCAAATTAAAGTGGAATGAACAGTGAATGCATATCAGTCATTACGGTCTTATCCGAGTATTAGTGTGTTTCAGTGGGATCACCAGAGAGGTCAGGCGTATTAAGAGCCATTTTTTGGTCATTTTTTTTTCAATTGAATTAAATATAATTGAAACTTAATTATAAGTTTGCAGGTTGCACTGAGGTGAGTGGTAGTGTTTTTTATCTTTTTCCAGAATGAAATGAATGTCTTTAACAAAGGTTACCCAGATGTAGCCCGTTCCTGTACACAGAGGAAGCATTCAGTGGTTCTGCATGACAGATAAGGATTGCCGTCCTCAGTGCGCAGTGGGATTAAAAACATTAGCAGTTTGCTCAAGGTCACCACGCTTTTCCTTCGCAAGTACTTTCACAGCGAGATGATGTATGAACAGAGGCACCAACCGCTTCCAGGCAAACAAAGTCTAATTAAATTGGGGCAATAGCAAAATGTGATAATGCAGGAGAAAGGAGGTCAGGAGGAAAGAGAGAGAACAGAAGAAAACAAACAAGAGCACATGTAAACTGTCTGTTGGGTTCGATTCAGCTGTGGTGAATTTTTCACTAGCTGCAGTGTTAGGCATTGTAAAACGATCAGGTTTTAAGGAATAACCTGCTTTAACCCTCAGTAAACCTGTTCTGCCTTTATTAGACAAAAAAATTATGTTTTGGTTTTTAGAATTGTGTTCTTAATCTTAATCGTACATAACTTAGTAAAGGTTTTGGCACTTGTGAACATATGTGAACACATTCAAAACATATCAACATATGTGAACACATTCAAAAAATAAATGGACATGATTCGAAAGGGTTAAATTGTCCTGACACTTGTATTGTTTGTGGTTAGAAATGACCACATTGGAAATGAATAGGGGATGAATTTCATCTAGTGGAAACGTTTGGTACTGCGCCCAATTTTTTTTTTAAGATATCAACCGCACACAATTGTTTCATTTTATGGGTTTGGTTTTTCTTGTTAGTTTTGTGAAATTTTAATATTATTATTATTTTCACTTCAGCAGTGACCTCTTTAAAAAGACCACACTTATGGATGTGCTCTAAAGTATTCAAGATTTATGGCAATTTTATTTGGAAATTTATTTATTTATTTATTTATTTTGCCTAAAAGTGGTTAACAGGTAATACATGGATCATAAGTATTCCATAAATGTAATTTAGTACCATAAAATCCCCTAAAAATACAAAATATTAAAATAAAAAAAACATTCGCTAACCATATGACTTTCTGTTTACTATGGAACCAACACACACACACACACACACACACAAAAAAAAAAAAAAATAGGCCAGAATGTTCAATCTGCTTTGTTCCATACAGATGTCAACAAGTTTCCCAGTGAATTAGATTTTGGTTGGTTTCTGACAGAAAAATTTTAGCGATAGACAATATAGAGTAGACAATATAGCACTTCAGTCATAAAAATTAATTATATGCTTTTATGGAACTTTTGTCTTTTATCTCCTTTTTGGAGCTTGTCAGTCCCTTGTCCACATCCACCATCACTGTGTGTAAAAGAGCAGTGTGAACATTCTTCTCAATGTCTTTGTTGTGTTCCATTAAAACAAATTAAATGACATTAAAGTAAACATTGACAGAATTTTCTTTTTTTTGTGTGAACTATTCCTTTGAAAACATTCTTTATTACGATTTTTTTTTCATTATTCTCAGTTGTTTTCTCCCTAAATTGTCTAATGCGTATAACATGTTCTTGTTTATTTCCAGAGAGTGTACTGGATGATTTCCTGCTGACGTATCCTGTGTTCATGTCCACCAGTGACCTTTGTCAAGCTCTACTTGGTCAATATCCTTATAATGACATGCTCACAAGCTACTATATACGTCATTGCTGATGTTGTTTTGCTACAGTAGCTGCCTGACTACATTTTTAAAAGTGAAGTGTGTATTTTACAGTACTACTTTAACATTGACTAACAATGAACAATACTTCTACAGCATTTATTAATCGGAGTTAATCTCAACATTTACTTTTTTTTAGGTTAAATACATTTTTACGGTTAAATGTGGTATCTGTTAAAGGGATAGTGAACTTTGAAATTCATTTTTGGTATGTTTTAGCTTACCTTAAGGGCATCCATAATGTTGGTGTCTTTGTTTCCACAGTATTTTCAATTTTTATATTTTTAGGTCAAACCGTTGTTGTCGTTCAGTCATATAATGGAGGTCTATGGTCAATTAAACATGATTTAATGACTCGTAAATGTAAGTACACATTGATGGCCTAAGACACGAAACGAGCGGTTTGTGTGAGAAAACGAACAGTATTTACATCGTTTTACCTCTTGTAACCACAGCCACGTCCAAGTGATCTGAGGGCGCGGGCACTTTGTGGCTGTGGTTACAAGAGGTAAAAAGAATGCAAATATTGTTTGTTTTCTCACCCAAAATGCTTGTTTTATGTCTTAAATCGAGTCATTAAATCATGTTTCATTTTGACTTCTCTGTGGTCTTTGAGGTGGTGATCATAGACCTGCATTATGACTGAACAAGAACGGTTTGACCTAAAAAATCAAAATTGAAAATACTGTGGAAACAAAGACAACTACATTTCGGATGTCCTTGAGGTAAGCTAAAACATACCAAAAATTAATTTCAAAGTGAACTATCCCTTTAACATTAGTTAATGGACCTGAACATAATAATTTTACTATTTGATAAAAAAAAAATAAATATACAGTAAACACTGTAAAATAAATATTATTACATTTTAAAATGTATGTATATTTATAAATGTAAGTTGAATTGTCAGCATCATACTCTAGTCTTCAGTGTCACATGATTCTTCAGAAATCATTCTGATAGGCGGATTTGCTGCTCAAGAAACATTTCTGATCAATTGAATGTCCTTACTGAATAAGAATAATTTCTTTAAAAAAACGTGCATGATATGTAACACATACTGTATATTTACAGTACATTAGAATATGCAATATATTACTAGATAATTCATTAGTTAATAGATTATTTTAATAGTATTATATAGTTCACACATTAAACATTTATTATCAATAATACATTTAAAGCTACACTGTGTGATTTTTACCCCCATCTAGCAGTGAAAAGGTATATGATCATCCAGTGAATATTAGTTTCTGTTCCTCTCAATTCCGATTTCGTTTTAACTCCTACAGTGGCCAATGTAGTCCAAGATTAACATGGCTTCCAGTTCGACCTTGTCCATGAGTGTTAACTCAAACGTACACACGAAAGGCAAAGCTTGAATTAACGGGTTGAATTAACCCTCTTTGGCTAATGTACTTTCAAGATGGAGGGGCAACATGGCGACCGACATTAGAACCCCTTACCCGTATGTATTTTCAATGGCATATGATACACTCACGAGAATACTTTATCACTTGAACGAAGTAAATATTCATTAATGAAGATATATATTTTTGAAAGAACCAAGTGTTTTAGATAAGAATAAACTAAAAGAGTTACACAGTGTAGCTTTAATGTTTGCAGCATGTGCACTTACATGTACTTACCTAAGAAAGTACTGGTAATATGAGGTAGTTATTTTCAATTACTATAACAAGTACATATTATGTACATGAGGAACACAATTAAAATAAAGTGCTACCCCCTTAATAATATATTACAATTTAAGTTTTGAAAAGAAATTTAAATATTGGCACAATTAATCTTTGTCAGCAAAACTTTAAAGTGCATTCATCATCAAGTGTCAACATTTTGATGAGCAGTGTACATTATATTGTAGATAAACATTGAATGTATTGTAATTTTTAATTTTAAGTGATATATTCTTCAGTTAACTAATGAAAGATGATCTGAGACCCTATATGAAGCAATGAGCGACTCATGGAACTGTACTATGACTGTGTTATACATGATCTTAACAACACGCTCTGTCTGGTATTAAACCACTTAACAAATCCTACGCCGTTTAGCCGAGGGCACGCAATTATTTCTCTCTTACTCTGAACCTGAATTACTGTTCATTTAATATGGAGAATTCGGCTTCAGGCATTTCCTCCTTCCTCTGAACTGATGTTTCGAGCAGTCTAGCATGCTGGAATAGATTTGATGCCTTAACTGCTCCTGGTCCACCTATTGTTCAAAGAAAGGACAGATGAAAGAGGAGGGGAGAGACACTCTGCTTAGGAAACGAAAAGTGCTGCACCTGCTGTCCCAGTGGAGCTCGCAGTGCTCAGACCTGCCGCAGGACGACGAGCACGCCAAAATATTCCTCAAGGTGCGGATGGGGAGAGAGAGGGAGGGAATTATTTTTGGAAATTCAAAAATGCCTCCACCCCTACAGTTTTTGATTTCGTAATGCCTCATAACGAGGACGAGATTGTGAGATTTTTGTTGGCTTCAGAGGATTTTTAAATGCCCTCAGACCTTTTGATTACAGTGATTGATTACAACATTACAGTGCAATTGGTAAACACTTTTTTTGGTTACACTTTGTTTTAAGGTGTCCTTGTTACAGTGTAATTGTTCATTTAAGTACTAAGTAAAATTAGGGGCCGTTTACACGACATCGTTTTCAACTAAAAACGTGAAACCTTTTACGCGTTTTGGCCGTTCATTTAACTTTACACGACAACAGCATTTTGGGGGCTTGAAACTTTTGAAAACTGGTTCCTAAGTGCAAGTTTTTGATAACGAGACAGTTGTTTTCTGTGTAAACTACTAAATTTTGTTATTACGTGTTCAGACTATGCACATAATGTTTGTTTACAAAGTGACATCGCCAACTACTGGCCAGGCAGCAGAATACAGCGTTTTTAATCGTTCTTGTGGCTCCGTGTTTTGACAATGTTGTCGTCTGTACACGAAAAACGCAAAGGAAAAACTATTGCATTAGTACATCGCTGACGGGCAAACGTATCCTACATTAACAACATTACTATAGGGTTAGTTACATGTAATTATATAGTTATTACTACAGTAAGTACATGTGACGTGTGGCAAGGACACTCTAAAAAGGTGTTACCCTTTTTATTAAAATCAAATCAGATCTATTCGTTCAGACCGTGTAATAAGTATCTGATATATATTGGTTGGAGTTGTAATAAATTATGCCACATTCACAGCCTGAAATTTCAATCTTGCGTTCATTTCATGTTTGCAGACACTGTACAGACACGTTCTGGATGATCTCTGTGAGTTTCCATCCCTGGAGAAGGATCTCAAAGAACTTCAGAAACTTCTAAGAATGCAAAGGAGACAGTAAGTCACTTCATCATCGTCATAACCACACATGATTTTCACACAATGATTTGTAATAGTCTGGGAAGCTCTTTGTTTTGGCGGATATTTTAAGACTCATTCATTATATTCGCACAGTAACATCCCTTATTCATACTCCTAAAAATGCAAAATGAGAGATGGAAAAAGACAAAGCGATGCCCTATAAACTCTTGTCTTTTGAATAAAATCAGTTTTTTATCCATGCGACCACTTTGGGATTAGCCCAACAAGGCATGGATTTCCTTGACATTCTCCCTTTCACTTCTGGGAGACATGATGAGAAATAGAGTAACAGAGAGATAATAAAGGAGTGAAATGATGTTTCAAAGAAGACAGTTGAGATCCTCATCAGTTGCTCCCTAGATGACAGACATTCTGCTGTGGGTGATAACTGAGCTTTAATTAGTCTAAAAGACTGTCAACATCAGAAATTGTCTGGTACAAGCAATGACTCTGAGTGTCTTAAACAAATCATGCCAATTCAAATTGAGAGGCATGTGCCACTTCAGATTTTTTTTTTTTTATTCAATGCAGCTTAAAACTTTTATTACATTTTAATTAAATCAGGTTAAACTTTATATTGTCTATTTAATTACTATGTTCTTACATCAAAACAGAAGTACAATGTACTTATTGTGTTCATGTTGTATAGCAAAAAAAAAAATCTATCTGAAATGCTTGTTTCTGATTGGCCAGTCGCAACATTCCAAGATTAGTTGTTCTCTGATAATGACCATTGTCAATAGTAACGCTGTATAATGACCATCCGGGTATTTAGGCCGGTGCTTCTTTCAAACGGAGCTGGCGTTCATCCTTAAATTGTAATAAGTCGACCAACTTTACATTATCCCTTAAACGTCCATCTTGTTTGAACTTGTTCATTCACCTATACTCTAAGCTGCTTGCTAGGAACTGTTTTTCTTCGCAGAAGCATTGCATCAAATGAGCCCATAAACAATTAACTCAAACCATTATCCCTTACTCACCCTGCGTCCCAATTGGCTTACTTATACTACACCCTAAAAAGTATGTACACTTTTTGTTAAGAAAAAGTACATACTTTTGAGTGTGTAGCAAAAGAGTAGGCAAGCTTTGGGACATACTATCACGTCATCTTTAACGGACCGCTCTGTCACCAGCTATCACCGTAAACTGCCCTGTCAATCATCTTGTCACAGTTAAAATCCTCCATTCAATCTAATTAAATTTCTTACCGTTTCGGAGAGAAATGTTGTCGCACTTTCACCTGCTATTCGTGGGTCTTTAATGAGGAGACTCTCCGAATGTGTTTGCAGTTTGAATGTAATGATGCCTATAAAAGTTAATGGCTAAACGTATCTTTACAAAAGTTCACAATGCTGCCGCAGATGCAATATAATAATGTAGCCAACGTTGAATAAATACATTTTCGTCAGGTTCGATACTGATAATTAATCACTTAAACTCCTTTATCTAAACCTCTCTGCATAACCGCCTGACTCGCGCGTCCTCCATATCTGTAGTTTTTTAACACTTTTCACTCCTGTTTGTACTGTAGTTCTAACCAAATCCTCGTCCAACGCGCAATATCAGCCGTTAGAGTGTGCATCGAACGACACTTCGGATTCCGACTGGAAATAGTAGACCATCCGGGTATCTTTGAAACACTCATTTTAACATACTACGATTTGGGACGTATTAATTCTATTTTCGAATACTATTTAGGATGGATAGTATTCTTCTTTTTTTTTATTGCCACAGCCCATATACAACCACAGAAAACAATTATTTTATCGATGGGCAAAGTTTGCACTGAAATGTAAGATTTTTTCCATCCTCACTTACCTCGCCATAAAACCTGTTTAAATGATCATACGACGCCTCCTCACTTGCTGCTTTGTCGACGGCGGCCACGGTGCGACAATGGTGGCTGGTGTTGCCAGATTGGGTGTTTTTTCGCTACATATTAAGCCCTGTTTACGTGTGTTTTAGCCGGGTTTTCACCAGGAAGGCTCTAAAGAAATCTGGCACCCAATTGAACGAATGATCGTGCGTTCACAGACACCAGAATGAACAAGTTCATCAGGCAGTAATACTGTACGTTCAGTTCACGTTCGCCCAAAGCACAACACTGCCCTTACTTAATTAGTATTATTTTATGTTTATTTATATTCGATCATTATTGCTGTTCCCTTATGAAGCTTTTATTACTTATTGAATAAAAAATTAATAATAAATAGCAATTTATTGCAAAATGTCTGTAAAGTGTTTTGAATTATCACTGTACCATTCCTTCTTTTGTTCAATTATTTGAATCATCAAATACTGAGTAAAAAAAATTTGCATTGTGTTCCCTTTCTAACCAAATGCTATAGTTTGATTGTAATCATAATGCAAAACCTGATACTTATCTAAAAATGTTTGTTAAAAAAATAAATTAGTTGTCTTTTAGAATATCTAAATGTATATCTAAATAAAAAAAAAACTAATAAGATAGAGAAATCATGTCTAAAACAACAACAGGAATCAAAAAGCCTTCCTATGTATTTATATAGGAAGCTATAGGCAGCCTACAGGCTGTACAGGACATTGCACACATGTAACTATTTTTTAAAGCCACAAGGTGGCACTCTTCAACTTGAACATTTTTTTTTTTATAAAGCTGGCACTCTATTTTGATGTGAATTGTTGCATTTATTGAAAAAAATAAAAAATAAATATAAAATAAAAATATATATATTAATTCTAATGGAAAAATAGCTCTTAAAAATTATATAATTAATGCAAAGTATCATAAAAAACTCTGAATATTCTAAAAAATATTTCTTAAAAATTAAAAAATATTTATTTATAAAAATATAAATAATAATTCTGAAAAATTCTAAATAATAATCAGAAAATATTATAGAACAAAAATATATTTGAACGGTTATCCTGGGAAAAAAGTAAAGTTAAATTTTAAGGCTTCGTCCGATTTTGACCGGGAGTAAGCTAAGTGTAACCCATTTACGAAGAAGCCCAGAGGGTTAATATTATAATTATTATAATGTCATCTAATGCTTTCCCTATATAAGGAACTATAAAATCTTTTTTCAAGCCTGGATTCATGATGGCCTTGTTATTCATGACGGCCAAGTACAATAAGTTCAGAGTCAGGTTTTTTTGGGGGGTTCATTAGCCTACAACTTAATTAACACCGAATTAGGAATGTGGTGTCGTAATATTCCTCTAATACATATGCAGACAGAGCAGAATTAATAAATTCCACCAGGCCAAAGAGCTTCGCACATCCGATATTTGTGTTTAGTAAGCTGCGGTCCTGCCGTTGACCTCAGCTATACATCACACTCCTGCTGGTGCTTCATGAAAGGCCAATGATTAATTAGAGAGGCATCAGATGGGGAATATGGAGACTATAAAGCTCTCTCCGATTGCCCGTTTTTATCAGGCTGTTTAATCAGAATGAGCCGTGCATGGATGAGGAAGTTGTGCGCTTTCATTTAGATGAGGCAATCAGTAAATCACGTCGTGTCAGACTTTAATGTTAGAGCTGATGATTGAGGCCTGATCTGAATGAGAAAAGGCTTTTTTACGAGCGCTCCTCGCAGCGGGTGGGAGATGCCATCCTGCTGTATTGATATAATGGCACATTTGTATTTCAAGTGATCCCTTTGGCTCATTCTTCATTATTTCTTTCTGTCTTCCCCTCTCATCTCGCAGCACGGTAGATGAATCCTCTCCGCAGAAGAAGGTAAGAGTTAAGACCATCCGTTACATCACACAGAAGCTCAATGAAACCACCTCGGCGCACTTTCATTGAACTTTTTGTGGTTTGAAGAGGGCGTATCATCATGACTGAACCATGGCAATGCTAAGATATGTTCACCCACATTTATATATCGATGAGAAACAACATCTGACCACACAAGATAACTGCGTTCACGTTAGACTTTGAAATCGTTGTTTTTTTCTCAGATCTTGATGCCGAATGACACAAGACACGTGCTTGTGGATTAAGCTGACAGGATGTCAGGAAAGCCAATGACATGCAAAGTGAATTCAGAGGAGTGGGCAAACATCTAAGTGCCAGGCTTAAAATATGGACTTAAACTGCATTTGCTTTTTAAATCACTAATGGTTTCAAGACACTGTATAAACTTTACATGTTGTCAGCTCTTAAGCATAATCAATGTACTGTAAGTTTGTGCACTTAATGCTCATTCAATATTCATCAACTTGCCCTGCCCTGGTGACAAAATGCATTTGCATGTAGAGGTCTTAACGGTACAGCAACATAAACATGTATGACTAAATTATTACTGCTTTTGAGACAAGACACTTATTACAGAGGGAATTGGTATTTCTATAGTGACTAGGGCTGGACCAGAATATTCGAATATTCGTTCGGTGGGTTGGTATTCGATTTGAAAATGTGACATTCGAATAATCGTTTTTTTTTTTTTTTTGGCACACCTGGCATCCCACTCGAAACGGATCTCATTCGTGCTTGAATATGTTTTACAGTATAAAATCTGGTGAAATAAAATACTTAACATAAAACTTCGTTATAGCTATTTAATAAATATATTTGCTTCATATATCTAAATGAATATACTGCGAAACTTTACTGAGACCACAATTTCGTTTTTTTTTTAATTCTGTTTTTCTATATTTAAGTTATTCGTTTTCATTTATTTATATTTATATTTTGTACTTTTAAATTTAGTTTTTTGTTTTGTTTTATTTATTAAAATTTCATTTTTATTCATTTAAATTTCGTTTTTATTCATTTAAATCTACCCCACATTGTTAGTGAGAAGACTATACCTTATAAAAAAATATAGCTTATATTGCATCCCAACTAGGGATGGGCAACGATTAATCGCGATTAATCGCATCCAAAATAAAAGTTTGTGTTTACATAATATATGTTTGTGTAGTGTGTATAATTAATTTGTATATATAAATACCCACACATGCATGTATATATTTAAGAAATATGTGCATGTATATTTTATATATATTTATTCACAATTAATATTATATATAAATATAAATATTTGATATATTAATAACACATTTTTCTTAAATATATACATGCATGTGTGGGTATTTATATATACAAATTAATTATACACACTACACACATATATAATGTAAACACAAACTTTTATTTTGGATGCGATTAATCGTTGCCCATCCCTATTTATAACACCATGTAGAGATTCCGAAGCTTCGAATATTCAATGTTCATTACTACCGAAGCTTCGAAGCTCAAAAAATGGTATTCGGACCAGCCCTAATAGAGACATATGTCGGGTTCGCAGGACAGATTTTGTTCAATTCATTCTCATTCGAAATAGCGTGAGAGCTCAAGTACTGACGTGATTCGAAAGGTCTGCGCGTGATATACTGACGACGCGCAAATTAAACAACACAGACGCAATCAGATCATTTCCATAATGACCAACACAATCTTCCTCAAATTAGCATCTGGGTTAATATGTGCTTTTTGGATGGTAAATAATGGCAATAGATACTAGCAAACTGACGAGCGCAAACCTTAGTAAATCACCTTGCATGATTCATTTAAATACTCTCTTCCTATGAATGTTGTGTCTGAAAGAAAAAAAAAACTCCTGCAAAATGCATATTATAAGGTCAGCCACAAAAAGAACTGTTTTCAAGCCTTTTCAGCTCAAATTTTTCACTGCGTGTCTTCAGTAGGTTTTTAACGCCAAAAGAGGGTTTGCGCTAACGCAAGCTGCTATTAAACCTGGCTCTTAATCCTTAATTTAAGTATAATTTATATTTTATTGTAGTTTGTGAACAATAACAAAATGGTGCTTCCAAGCTCAGAGTGAAGACTGTATGCTTAAATGATACAGCTTGTGTGTGTGTGTGTGTTATTCTCATAAGAAATAATATTCTCAAGGCCACATGTTTACTATCTTGCAGAATAAAGCGCTCTTCCACCAGCTGAGTCTGAAGGAGAACTGGCACCCTGTGAGAGGAGCTCAGAAGGAGAGGAAGGAAGGTAAGCTCATCAAATATTCCCTCATATTTCTTTATGTAGAACAGCATGTGAGAATCTCGTCGGATGGCGTTTTGATGTGAACTGGTGTCTGGGTGATTGTGTTGTCTTCAGTGCTGTGTCGCGTGGACGTGAGCATAGATTCATACGTGAGCGTGAGGACACACAGCGAGGTGTCCGTGCAGGAACTGCTGAGGACTGTGGCCGAAAGGCTCGACTGTGCCGAGGACGACATGGTGTTGATGGCCGTCACGTATCCTGGAGGTCTGATCGAGTTCATACATTCATTTTGACTGACATTGCTGCAGCTTTTGTGTTTGAGACATCACTGTCCACAGGTCTGCAGAGGTGCTATTATGCTTTTGAACTGGTCATTAGGGCACAACAAGGCCCCTCTTCTGATCCTGATGTATCTGGTGATTGAAACAGTAGATTTATGGTTATTTAAAATGGTCAAATAATGTCATTTGTGTATAAAGAAAGGGTTAAAAAAGAAAGAAAGGAAACTCGTGCAATAGGGCAGGGGTGTCCAAACCTGCACCTGCAACCCTGATCAAACACAACCAACCCTGCGATAAGGTGAAAATGTGTCACCATATGCAAATACTTTTGATATAGCAACAGATTATTGGAGTAATAGTTTGTTTTAGAAATAACCACTTTGGCAAATTATGCATTCATTTTGAATGGTGCACTGTACTGTAGTGTGACGTTCATCTTGGAGCTTTCATGAATTGTGAGTGAAACGGTCAGGGCCGGTCGACTTTCATTCATCGACCCAAACAAATCTGTTCCGTCCTGTTTATTCAAATTAATTTTTTAAGTTTTAATTATTCTGCATATTTTAGTATTTTGGTTCCAACGTTCTTAAAGGGATACTTCCACTTAAATTTGACAAATCTATCATCATTTACTCACGTTCCAAAACTTTCTTCTGTGTAAAATAAGAGGTTTCCGTCACACTTTATGCTAAGCTGTCCGTTTGACAGTGTAATTTAAGTACTGAGTAATAATGATGTACTTACTATAACGTTAGGATTGGGGTTTGGTTTAGGGTTAGTTATAGTTATTACTACTGTAAATTAACTACAAAAAAACAGTGTTTAAAGGTTGTTTAAAAAGGTGTTTTTTTGTCTATAAAATGTAAAGTTAATGGGCTCCAGTGTTGTTGGGTTCCTAGTATTCTTCAAAATATCTTTTTGAACTCGTACAGATTTTTATGGTGACACTTTACAATTTAAGGTCTAATTTGTCAACATTAGTTAATGTATTAACTAACATGTACTGACAATGAGCAATACATTTGTTAAAGTATTCATTAGCCTTTGTTAATGGTAGTTAATTTATTGTTTGTTAGTGTTAGCTCACAGCGTCAGCCATTGTTAACAAATACAACTTTTGATTTTAATAATATAGTAAATGTTTAAATTAATATTAACTACGATTAATAAATGCTATAGGATTACTGTCCAGTGTAGTTAATGTTAACTAATGAAACCTTGTTGTAAAGTGTTATCATTTTTACTCTAATTCTAATTTTCATTTCAAATGCTGAAACACTGTTGATTTAATTACCTTTAACACAACTGAATACCATAAGGTCATAAGTGTCATACAAATATATCAATCTAAATACAAACCCAATTCCATAAAAGTTGGGACACTGTACAAATTGTGAATAAAAACAGAATGCAATGATGTGGAAGTTTCAAATTTCAATATTATATTTAGAATACAACATAGATGACATATCAAATGTTTAAACTGAGAAAATGCATAATTTTAAGGGAAAAATAAGTTGATTTTAAATTTCATGGCATCAACACATCTCAAAAAAGTTGGGACAAGGCCATTTTTACCACTGTGTGGCATCCCCTCTTCTTTTAATAACAGTCTGCAAATGTCTGGGGACTGAGGAGACAAGTTGCTCAAGTTTAGGAATAGGAATGTTGTCCCATTCTTGTCTAATAAAGGCTTCTAGCTGCTCAACTGTCTTAGGTCTTCTTTGTTGCATCTTCCTCTTTATGATGCGCCAAATGTTTTCTATGGGTGAAAGATCTGGACTGCAGGCTGGCCATTTCAGTACCCGGATCCTTCTTCTACGCAGCCATGATGTTGTAATTGATGCAGTATGTGGTTTGGCATTGTCTTCCCTGAAAGAGACGATGTCTGGATGGGAGCATATGTTGTTCTAGAACTTGGATATACCTTTCAGCATTGATGGTGCCTTTCCAGATGTGTAAGCTGCCCATGCCACACGCACTCATGCAACCCCATACCATCAGAGATGCAGGCTTCTGAACTGAGCGCTGATAACAACTTGGGTTGTCCTTGTCCTCTTTAGTCCGGATGACATGGCGTCCCAGTTTTCCAAAAAGAACTTCAAATTTTGATTCGTCTGACCACAGAACAGTTTTCCACTTTGCTAGAGTCCACTTTAAATGAGCCTTGGCCCAGAGAAAACGCCTGCGCTTCTGGTTCCCGTTTAGATATGGCTTCTTTTTTGACCTATAGAGCTTTAGCCGGCAACGGTGAATGGCACGGTGGATTGTGTTCACTGACAATGTTTTCTGGAAGTATTCTTGAGCCCATGTTGTGATTTCCATTACAGTAGCATTCCTGTGTGTGATGCAGTGCCGTCTAAGGGCCCGAAGATCACGGGCATTCAGTATGGTTTTCCGGCCTTGACCCTTATGCACAGAGATTGTTCCAGATTCTCTGAATCTTTGGATGATATTATGCACTGTTGATGATGATAACTTCAAACTCTTTGCAATTTTTCTCTGAGAAACTCCTTTCTGATATTGCTCCACTATTTTTTGCCTCAGCATTGGGGGAATTGGTGATCCTCTGCCCATCTTGACTTCTGAGAGACACTGCCACTCTGAGAGGCTCTTTTTATACCCAATCATGTTGCCAATTGACCTAATAAGTTGCAAATTGGTCCTCCAGCGGTTCCTTTTAACTTTTAACTTTTAAAAAAAAAAAAATTTAACTTTTCTGGCCTCTTATTGCTACCTGTCCCAACTTTTTGGGAATTTGTAGCTCTCATGAAATCCAAAAGGAGCCAATATTTGGCATGGCAATTCAAAATGTCTCACTTTCAACATTTGATATGTCATCTATGTTGTATTCTAAATATAATATTGAAATTTGAAACTTCCACATCATTGCATTCTGTTTTTATTCACAATTTGTACAGTGTCCCAACTTTTATGGAATTGGGTTTGTACTAAGCTCGTAATATAATATTTGAGATCATTAGCTGCAACATTATACAACATTTTAAATGTTATTACATGAAAACTAATCTGAAAATCAACCTTTGGACACTTCCCGCAATGACCTCATGAATCAGGAACATTTTTTTAGTGTATGCAGTGACAACAGGTTAAGAAGGCCATCAAGACCATTGTATCCTAATTACCAAATTGGGTCCAAATAAATGATTTTTAAAAAACATTTTCTGCTGTATTTCACTGTTTACCCCATTGATGCTTTCTCACCAGTCTTCCTCTCTCTTTCTCTTTCTCCAGAGAAGGTTCTGCTTCAGTCGGATCAGTGTGTGTTCTCGTCTTCACTCGGTGCCGCGGAGAGGCTGCTGGTCTGCAGAAGAGACCTGACTGACATCATGGTGAGAGTCAGAGTGATGCTTTCTGAACCGCTCTTAAAACAAACCTGCTTTCCACACCATTAGTTCAGGGTCACACACGACTCTACACTTGCCTTTCTTTTCTGCCTGTATTCTTTTGTTTTGTTTTTTTCAAATGTAATGCGAGACTTTGTGAATGACCCACTTTAACTTTAAAGTATAACATTGAACAGATGAATGTCTGTGTTGTATTCTCCCAGAGTCCCTTCACTGATAATGGGCACCAGCGCTCAGTAAAGATGCTGAGCATGAACACATGGGATGTCGCCGTGTCGCTCACCAACTGTGACTGGAGTCTCTTTAGTAACGTCCATGAGGTAAAGTCTTCACATTTCACACAGTGATCCTTGCAGATCCTTGACACGCACACTAAAATGAAGTTTAAATTTAAAATAGGCAATGAGTTTGTTCTCGAAAAGTTGCTTTATATAATATCAGTCTGGAATGAAAGAAAATATTTCCTACAAAAGACCAACATTAAAGGGATATTCTACCCAAAAGAAGAAAATGGCGTGATCAATTGCTCACCGTCCATTTACCCCAAATTTTGAGGTTTACTAATACCTCACAGTGGTTGAGCTTGTTTATCATATTTGATGTGTTTGAGCAATTTTATATCAGAAAACAATTAAATTAATTAAAATTGAAAATTAAATCTGATCATCATATAAAGTGATTATGTTTGTTGGATCAAGGGGCCAGTTGTTCAAAATTTAATCTGGATCAAAATGATCCGGATTTAGAAATCCCATTTTTTCCTATCCAGGATCAGGTAATCCGTCTTACTTTTATGCCGGTTTTTCAAAGAAACAATGGACTGGATCACCCTGATCCAGATACACAGTTTTCAAGATTACCAGTGCTCTAAATGGGACAACATATCACAATGTGGGCTACCAGCTATGTAAAGAACAGGTAGAAGAGCCAACATGGGGTCACTGTAAGTGTGTCTTATTTTGAGACTAAACACAAATGGGGACAAGATCATTTTTATTTTATTTTTACTTTACTATACTGAATAGCTTAATTGTTAGCCTATGTCTACTTTATCACTGTTACAACGGTTACACAAGTCAAGTACAAAATAGTATATACACTAAATGATACAAATGTATTATTTGACCAATTTTAAACTTACTACATTTTCTTCCTGAAATCCACCTTGAAATCCTACCCCCTGTTGGGATCAGGATAATCCTGTTTTTTTTTTTGTTATCAAAGTTATCCAAATCCCACTGACAAGTTTTGAACAACACAAACTGAAGGTTTGATCCAGATTAAAACTAGGATTGGATTCCCTGACCTAATCTGATTTCAGATTCCTTCTTTCCCTTTTGAACAACCCATTTTCAAGATTTGATCCAATCCGATAACCAAAATCCTTTGAACAACTGGCCCAAGAAGATTCATACGTATTAATAAGGATTACATTTCCCGCTTTGTGAAATTTGGGTGGAATTTCAGTTGAATACACAAAGTCCCAAGCTGAAATTTAGAAATGGTAATGTGCATTTTGAACATTCACAACAGACCGGACCATCTGACCTATCAGAGCCTATCTGACCTATAAAACCGGAAACAGTGCTAGCTTGTAAATCGAACATTACTCAATAGTCTTGATTCAATACTGAGACTCTCTGCAATGTTCAACAAGGCCCAGCAACCATAGCCATGTGATTTTTCCTTTCTACTGTACAGCAAGAACTGGTGCACTTCACGTTGAGCCGCGATGCGAGCGCTGGCCACACGGTGGCGCTGGAGCATCTGTTGCAGCGCTGTAACGAGACTCAACAGTGGGTGATGACCGAAGTCCTTCTGTGCACAACCCTCTGCAAACGTGTGCAGCTCTTCAAGAAATTCATCAAGATCGCAGCACAGTAAGTACACGCGCACAAACACACACTCGCTGACGGAAATAATCCCATAAACTCTGAAGGACCTGAGCCATATCGTAAACTTTACAAGCCAAACACCTTTGCAATCACATAGTAACATGCTAAAATCACTCCTGGTTGTATTTCTTTCTACTCAAATAAATCAGATGGTGTACATGCTCATGTTCTCCTCCTTGTCTGTCTCACTCTTTCGTAGCTGTAAAGCACAGAGGAACCTGAACTCGTTCTTTGCGATTATCATGGGACTCAACAGTCCTGCTGTCAGTCGACTCACTCAGACATTGGAGGTAGGAAGACACCATCTCCAATGCATAGAAATACACTTCTATATATGTGGAGTGGTAGTGTTGCAGTCAGATTTTCAACATCAATCTTTGAAATTATTTTTAGAAGCAAGAAACTAGAGTGTATTGCAAACTGTGCTAAACAGGAATTCAATTCTTCCATTTTTTTTTTAACTGTCCTATTTTCAGAAAGTCCCTGGGAAGTTCAGGAAGTTGTTCTCCGAGCTGGAGAGCCTGACGGTAAGTGACTGTCTCATCACAATCTTAGATTTCCTCCTGCTAGAGCATTTTGTGCTGTTTACGGCTCATTAGGATGTAATATATGAAGCCGTAATCATATCAGAGACTCCAGGGAGGAAACGGCAGGTGGCATTACAGAGGAGGAGATTTGAGACTAACCAGATGCTTTCACGGGTAAAATAAAACAAATATGTGCACATTAATGCTTGTGCATGACCCACAGGACCCTTCTTTAAACCATAAAGCCTACAGAGATGCCTTCAGGAAGATGAAGTCTCCCAAGATCCCTTTCCTACCTCTGCTACTGAAAGGTGCTACAACCAAAAACATACACAATATCATCAGATTATTAGTAATCTGCACATGACATCGTGTTCTAAGCAGCCACAAGCTATTTGTGTGTCCACACTAAACACAAAACCGCTCTACGATGTGAAACAAGGTCTAACAATAAGAGAAATATTATGCATGGATGGATGAATAAATCACAATATGATCAATAACATACATTCAGGTTTAAAACAGGCGAATTCCTATTTCGTCAACTTTAAATGTTAGACTCAGGCAACCCAACACAACAGATATTATTCATTTCTGGGCCTAAACACCATCAAATGCAAAAAAGCAAATGGCTTAAATAAACATTCAATGTATGTTTTAATACTACTGACAAAAAATTATGATCCTATGGCCAGACAGCGATTTAATTTTTTATGAATCTTTAAGTATTGGGTTCTGTAATGTAGTGCACAAAGTGAGTTTTTAAAAGCTTTGCTTTATGAATAAGTATATGAGTATGTGATATAAGTATGAACTGATATGAATAAGTAGTTCTCATAAATGGCTGTTGAGGCTTGGACCCCCAAAACAGTATTCTTAAAATCATGACTTAGAGGAATAGTTCACCTTTAAAAATGAAAGTTCTGTCATCATTTACTCACCCTCAACCTGTGTGAATTTCTTTCTTCTGTTGAACACAAAAGAAGATATTTTGAAGAATATAGGTAACCAGACAGTTGATGGTCCCCATTGACTTCCATAGTAGGAAAAAAATACTATGGAAGTCAATGGGGACCATCAACTGTGTGGTTACCAACATTCTTCAAAATATCTTAATAAATTCTACAATTCATACAGGTTTAGAACAACTTGAGGCTGAATAAATGATGACATAACTTTCATTTTCAAGGGAACTATTCGGTTTGAAAGAAATAATTAGCATTTATCACTAGTTTCTTTATCACAATGTATCTGGTTAGGACATATTGAGTGTCTCTCTTTTGCAACAGCAATGTGTGTAGCGAAATTTGAACAAGCATTCTATCTGAACAGATATTACCTTCATTCACGAGGGCAACAAAACCTTTCTCGACAACCTCGTCAACTTCGATAAACTAGTAAGTCAATAATTGGTCCTTTTATTATTGTTTATGTTTTAATTAAAGGTATAGTTCACCAAAAAATGAACATTCTGTCAATTTATTCATCCTCATGTCATTCAAAACATATATGACTTCATGTTTTGTTTTGTTTTTGGAACAAAAAAATATTATTATTTTTTTTTTTTTTTTTTTTTGAAGAATGTTGGTCACCAAATTGTTTTGGTTACCATTGACTTCCATTGTATGAGGGGACATTTCTCAAAATTCACAGAAGAATGTCAAACAGGTTTGAAATGATATGAGGGCGAGTAAATGCTAAAAGTATATTCATTTTTGGGTGAACTGTCCCTTTAATGCATCACGTGAGCAAAACAAGCTTACTGTATGTGGGATGTATTTTGTTTGCAGCACATGATAGCAGACACAGTGCGGATTATCAGGCAGTGTCGGACTGATCACATGGGTAAGTGCTCTGCTCTGTAATCTCTGCACCGCAACCACATCCAAAAGGAATTGCACAAAAAAAGACTCTTTCAAACATGTTTCCCAAACACCTAGCTCACAATCTCTTATTGGCCAGGTAAGCGGATAATAACGCCCCAGTCTCATGCCATTGGTTGATTTAAAGTTGCTGTTGCTGGTCGGACTGCTCAAACAACCAAAATGTTTTGATAGTGCCAGTGTTGCACTTCTCAGTAAAATCAGCTTAAAATTGCTTTATTTGGTTGTCTTTTCATATATTAAGCCTGGATAGCAGAACATATTTTAGTATTTAAAACAATGACACACTTCAACTTGTATTTGAACACACGGTTCCGTATTACTGCATAACCCAAATCTGTCTCTACACTCTAAAAAAATTGTCATCACAGTTAAGTACACTGAATAGTCAGCCTTATTCCTGTTGTGTTGATTCTCTGTAGGTTATACTTATGATTTTTGTCTTTTGTCCATTAGGAAACATGTTGTCCCAGAAGGACAGCGTGGAAGTGAGAACGTACATCAATTACCTGCACGTCATCGACAATCAACAGACTCTGTTTGAGCTCTCACATAGACTTGAGCCCAGGACATAGGACAACATCCTAAATCAACTACCGAACGCTACAGGACAGAAGACTGTGATGAGTAAATCCTTCACTAGGGGGAGACACACTCACACCAACCACACCGAGCGGACACAGTGAATCGCACAGCCAAAGAAATCTTGACAAGATTAATAATGTGAAAGGAAGAAAGATGCTGAATCATGCAAGACAGCAAAATATAAAATTGGCTTCTGAAATCTGCAGAACAGTTAACAAATAAAACATTACAGTAATGTTACAGTATAGAAACATGTTGAGAATCAGATGTTTTTTGTAGTGTAGGACAGTTTTAGTTGTTATGAGCCAGTTTGCCACTTCAAAATAGTTTCACAACAATAGCCAGTGGATGGTTTTAGCATATGTGTATATATGAGAAAATAATCTTAATTTCTATGTCGTCCAATTAGTGTGGAATTTGAGCTACATGCACAAATCTAAAGCAATTTGATGCCTTTTTAGATCATGTCCAACAAACTATTTGTAGACAATCAGAAACATATCTTAAGGTAGCACACTGTATTTTAGGTACAGTATTGCCTCCAGAAACAAGAAGTAGACCTGTAGATTAAAGGAAATTAGTTGAACTTGCACACACTATATGGACATCTTTAAATAATGCATATCTTTAAGAAAATAAATGCTATTTATTTTGCAGACTTTTACATAACAATTGGATACAAATTATGGACTAACTTCCTGTTTGAGCAATGGTTCTGTCACTAGATAGTGCTTGAAGAAAGCAAGTTGTACTTTGATTTATGAGACATTAAGATATTTATCAAACAAAAGTTGTCCCTGATTCAGAAGGGAAGAAAACGTCTAGGTTTTAAATGCAAAGAAATTATGTAATGCAAATGTGATCAGATGGTCTGAAGGATTTGGCGACGCCATTGATTGACCAGTCTGATAATGCCCGAGGTTCATCCGTGAACTCTGTAAATACAAAGACTTTTTAAAAAAAGAAAGAAATACAAAAAAAGGCCATAAAGCAATAGAAAGGTGTGCTTCTCACCTTCAGAAAACAATTGTTAGCAGTGACTGACTGTAGCTGCTGTTTGCACTAGGTTTTCTAAGAGCCTGACATTAAAGGGGAAAAAAATCCTTTGCCACTGTCCGTTTCTTTTTTTAGTGCCTATGCTGTATAATCCAATCTTTTGCCTAATATTTAGTTTGCCTTACATTGAATGCAAACGTTAACTAGACATGTACCGCCACCTAGTGGTAGGAATGTGAATTGACAGACATTCCTGTTAAAATGCTGCATGTATATTTTTTAGGGAGCAGTTCACTTTTATAAAAAACTTTTGCTGATAATTTACTCACCCCCATGTCATCCAAGATGTCCATGTCTTTCTTTCTTTAGTCGAAAAGAAATTAAGGTTTTTGATGAAAATATTCCAGCATTTTTCTCCATATAATGGACTTCAGTGGGAACCAAACGGTTCAAGGTCCAAAAGACAGTTTCAGTGCAAACTACAAACTGTTCAAAGGGCTTTAAACGATTCCAGACGATGCTTAAGGGTCTTTTCAAGCAAAACAATCGCTCATTTAAAAAAATAATAATAATAAGGTTTACGTTTTAAGCTCAAATGGTTGCCTTGCTCTGTTCTGTGATGCACGTTCGTGACTCCCCTTTTCGAATTCGTTCATCAAAATGAACGAATCTTTTTCCAAGTCAATACGTTCATTTTGTTCGTTGAATGAACCAATTGACTCGGAAAAAGATTTGTTCATTTTGATGAACGAGTTCAAACAGGAGTCACGAACCATTTGAGCTTTTAAAACTTAAACTTTTGTATTTATTTTTGAAATGAGTGACCGTTTCGCTTGATAAGACCCTTAAGCATCGTCTGGAATTGTTTAAAGCCCTTTTGAACAGTACTGAAAGTGTCTTTTGGACCTTGAACTGTTTGGTTCCCTGGACCCACTGAAGTGCATTATATGGCGAAAGATTTGTGATTTCATGGGGTCTTGTAAATCGTGACTACTTAATAAAGCAGAGATCTCATTATCCATCACTTAGGGTGTGAATCTTCTCTGTGACACTAAATTGGCATCTCAGCTGTCTCAGTGAGAACCGAGGATGAATTGTCTAAACAGTTACTGATCCATCCTGTTCTGGGCCATTATTACCTGCTGTGAGGCCGCCGCTGGACTCGCTGAGAGGGGAGGGACCGCGCCACAGCTTGTGCTAACCTCTCATTTCCCTCTCTGGGACAGATGTATCATTTTCTTGTCTCCTGACAAGGTCTGCATCATAGCAAGGGAACTATACAGGCAAACAGAGCAGCAGATGTGATTGTGTACTCCACAGATTCTGGTTTAATATCTTCTAAAATAGCTACTGTTGAACATAGTCACATTTGTACAGTTCAGCAGTGCACTGTAGAAGTTATTAAATCACATCGAGGGACACGTGAGGGAAGAGATGGATAAGACCAAGCATGTCATTCAAAGATGATAAATTGGTTTCTGTACTGACGTGAGATGAATCATACTGATCTATCTGTATTCATCAGGAGAGGAAGGTCAAACACACCTCAATTGAAAATCAGTATCAGCCTGGTTCATAATCTACTGGGACTCTTATTGTGTGGCGCTCGAGGAGATAGTGTCATTCATTGAGCTGCTTTAAATTGGATTAAGTTAATAACATCATCAATATAGAGCGTTAATTATTATTACAATATTATGACAATACAATCATTTTCTATTGTATGTTGTATTTTTAACAGTTAAGCTTTTATAGGTATCGGGCAGAGCTGCGCGATTTGGGGAAAGTCGAATTGTGATTTTTCAGGGGGAAAATCATAATTAGATTGCAATTTCAAATTGCAAATCCAAATTTGTAATTTGAAAATTCAAATTTGTATGACATTATAATTTGGTTAAACGTTTTGTCATCTCAATATAACTTTAAAATAATAACAATACTAATATCAAAATCGATTTATTATGTTGTAAGGTTCTAAACAAAACATACAAATAAGAAGTAAAATTACTAATATTTAGGCTATGGCTGTCTTAAGTTAGGCAGAAAACCACAAGGATTTCTTAATGAGAAGCGATATAAACCGGTCAAAAAAAAAAAAGAAAAGAAAGAAAAAAGAATTATGGGAAGATGGTTGTGCATGTTGCGTTATCAAGTACACGTTTATAAGCGATCCAATCTCACAGTGGACGATCTTAGCGGCTCCAAGATACTGAATAAAAAGAGACATGTAAGAGACGCACTTCGCAAATGCATCTTTAAAACGATATAAAGATGTGCTATCACACTAAACCATGCCACGATTTCCGTTTTATTTCGGTTAAATGTGCACTTCATCAGACAAAATTAAGATACATACATAGAAACATGATTCAAATGTAAAATTAAATGCACATAGGATTTTATATTAGCAGTTTGCATCCACCTATTTTTATGTGAATTTTAGGATATTGTATTTTAAAACGCACAGAATTTAACTAATGTGCATAAACTCAAAAAAAAATGTGAATAAAAAAGGTGCAATTAATTGAGGCGGATACGCATAGACTATGATGGAAATAGGACTGCACGATTAATTGCAATTAACATATTTGTTATGCGCAGCTTGTCAGTGACAAACGGCTCTGTGATCTGTAGGAAATGCTGCTACATTTGAAAGCACTGCGGGTTTGAGTCAACACACGCCAAACATGAGAAGCATTTATGAACCTCTAGTCCATCAAAAGACAACTTTTAATACATCCAAGCCTTTAATAAAACTACAGTGATAGCAAAGCCAGTTCTCTGGTGATAGTATGATGCTCAACGGGATTTCCTGGAATGATGTGCATTGTCTACTTCTGCGGGACATATTTGGTGTGTCTACGCGAGAGCGCCCTCTGGCTTTCAGATGGAGCGACATTTGCAACACATTCTCACCCCAAGGCGTCACCTTTGACCATGCTTCAATATTTGACGTTTTAGGCACCCTTTAGCGTCACTTACATGACGCGATCCTACGGCGTCATCTAACTGACGCTAAAGGAAAGCGTCAGTTAGAGGACGCGGTTAGGTTTAGGTATAGGGTGGGGGTAGGGTACACGCGATCCTAGGGCGTCATCTAACTGACGCTAAAGGGCGCCTAAAGCGTCAGATATTGAAGAATGGTCAAATGCTTCCCAAGGCCTCAGTTAGGTGACGCCTTGAATGGGCTGGCATTTACTACTGATCACAACAGAGCCGTGCTGCGTATGAAATAATCGCAGCCTTTGCCAAATCGTGTGCGGTTTCATTTTGATTAATCGTACAGCCCTTAAATGGAAATATTAAACATAAATTCTGCAATGCGCAAAAAAAAAAAAAAAAAACATGCAACTTTGCCTCAACAGATCATGCGAGACTGCATAGTTGGACCAACCAATGATATTTTGCATTAATTTCCCAAGAAGTGACGATTTTGTTCTCTTGAACAACAAATGTTTTATGCGATACTCCAATTTTGCCGGTAAGTTAAATTCGCAATTTTGGATGAAAACAAAACTAATTGCTAGGGCTGGGTAATAAATATCGATTTCTCGATATTAATCGATTCTCATTTTTACGAACCGATATCGATTCTTAAATCTCAAGAATCGATTAGTCATCCTGTTTCATGTGAGTTAATGGAACATTGTATCACGCCTGCTGCTCTTCCAAAAAAAAATCGCAATAATCTTTGTCCTTTGTTACTATTGATATGAAACAAAGTCTCAATTTTCAAATTACGTCCATTTTCTCTATAAATTCAAAAACATAATGTTTTGTCGCTGTGGCGTGAGATCGCTCTGGCGCAGCTCAGCAGCGCTGATCTCTCTTCCGGCTTAATAATACCAGTTGCAGCGCGAAATAAACATGAAAGAGCATCTGAAAGTGTGTTAAAAGATACAACTTATCGAAATCTGCATCACGTCACATTGATTCGCTCAATCAGCGTTTTAACCGTGGAAACACGTCAGTTAAACAGCTTGTAATCAATGTATGCAGGCGCGTCGTTAGACATGGGCATTCGGGGCTTCAGCCCCAGATGTTTTTTTTTATATAGCCCCGATCTCAAAAAATAAATAAATATATATATATATATATTGATCATTATTATTACATTTGAATAATTTTGCATTTATTTTAAAAATGTACCCCGTATTTTAATCTATCTTTAGGAATAATATATTAAAGACGATTAAAATGTTCAAGGCTATACTATGGTTACACAGCACGCTTGAGTTTAGATTGCGCACCAGAGGAAAGAGAGAGAGAGAGAGTGCCTGAAAGAGCAATCGGTTAACTTACAGCTTTAGGGCTTGACTGTCATTGTTGTTTGTGGCTTCAAGACACTTTTTAAAAAGGAAAATAAGGAGTCATGAACGATGAGAGGCAAGAAGAGTTATCTAGGCTAATTTACTGGCGCCGTTCCCTCATCAAAGCTCAGGTCGGTGAAGGCTCTTCAGCAAAGCCTGGTCGTCTAATTTAACGTTACTTAAGTTAGCCCTGTAACTTAAGTTACTCATTGTGGTTTTAATGCAGAACATGTAAAGTATGCGGTGGGACCTAATTACTATTTCGCCTAAACAAGCTAATCCATTTTGTGAGTCATCATAATCCGTTTCGCGTGAAGAATGTAGATGAAGTACTGTAGCCTAATTTATTAATCTGATTTGGCTAAGATAAGATTGGATAAGATAGGATTTTTCCCAATTGGTATTATCGAAGAAAATACTAATTATCTTTAGGAATCCTATCTTGCTTCCTCCTATCCAGAGCCAGCCCAAGCCTTTTGGGGGCCCTAAGCAGAATTTGATTTGGGGGCCCCTCCAACGACGCGGAGTCACCTGTGTTTGACGATTATTGACACAAATGTCACGCAATAATGATACATTATAAATGAATTCACTTAGGTTAGCTATGCATTAGGCTACAACAAAATTAATACTTAATAAAAATAAAATAGATGCCTATTTAAATAAAAAAAGTTTTAACAGTCTTAAAACTGTCTCAAAACATAGAAAAGAAATTATTTGCTAAAATTATGACAAAACTGAGAAACATAGTAACAACAAGCCTATTGTTGAAAACTAGAAATATTTGGCCTACTATTTCT